CGAATTTTTAGCTCTACCTATAGTTTCAAGCTTCCTTGCTCACTTGAAATATTCGAACTTTCTGAAATAAGTGCATTTCATTCCATGATAGTAAAAGTATCAAGTTTCATTTCCTCTCAGTATGGAATGTTTACGGTTCAATTCAAATGATGTCAGTGAACTAATTATCATGCTATTATACAACCATAAACCCACTGAATCAGACAAACCTCTACATTGTCTGTTTGTGTGTAGGACTGGTTAGAACGTATTGGTCGTCCAGAAGAAAGTATTCTTGTCAGCATCAAAGAGAGCCGAATCATGGAAAACACACACGATCCCAAACATTCCAAAATGCTCAATTTCTTATTAATTTATAATGTAAATGCATGCCGATGGGTTTTCAAATGAAAATTTTCACTGTGGTCTTCCTATTATGCAGAGAAACCGAGGAGTATATGACATGTCTGTTGAATATTGAGAGTACCTGTACAGCAGATCAGATTAACACTATACGAGGAGTTTTAAATAATATTGGTCCAAAACTAAACAAAGCTTGTAGAGGTTTGTTACATTTTTTACCTTTTGCCCCGACATAATTTACTAAATGTTTTATGGAGGTGATTCGTGACAAAACTGTTACATATTTTGTTACGAAATTTCGTTGTGAAATTTGTTTTCATTATCGCATAAGAACATCCTATATGCCTTACCAGTGATAACATAATTACTAATGTACGCACCATCCATGACTCTAACCCGCATCCCAAAGCGGATCTCACTAAATTATGAACTTTCACATTTATATTTTACAGGGAAAGGTTGTTCAGTACAATCTAGTATGTGTATAGCTGTATGGAATGTGTCTTTATCGGATGATCTTGGAAATAAAGAACTTGCCTGCGCGTATGTTTTTTTGTTGTTGAAAATATTCTCTTGTGAAAAGATTAGCATCGAGTACAAATAAAAGTGCTGTTATCAGTTGAGGGAACCTAATTTAGCTACTTTTCAGTTTTTTCTTTAACCGATGTCGGACCTATATTATATTCCGATAACTGGTGCTAATCAACTGGCGGGTTGTATATATTTTTCATATTTGATATCGATTTCCCATCTTTAATTTACAGTGCTAATGAAGCGTTTGATGTTTGTTTACGAGCTATAGAAGAAGAATGTACCCAAGATGAGAGGAATTCTATCAATACTTTAATCGGGAAAATAAATCCACAACTTTATTCCAAATGTCAAGGTATAGCAAATCTTCCGTCAATGATATAAACGTGCAGAACCTCGTTTCTCAAAATATCGTAGATTAACATTACGAGCGTAAACGTTATGAATCAACTATTTGTAAACGTCAAAAATAAGCACATGATGTGCAGGTTTAGTAGTACGAATTTTCAAGAAACGGGGTCCAGATCTGGCATGAGAACTGCTTGAGGCTGAATTCAAATTTTGGCTACTCTGTGTCATAGTTGCAAGTCATAGTCATAGTCATAGAGCGTCTTCGAGGGTTTTTCTCAAGAAAAATTTAGAAAAATGAAATGATTTTGTGCATTCTGACACATATTTCGGAGAAAAAAGGTTGGTCGTTGAATACCATAGTCTCTCATGCTGGATCCTTCCATTGAAAATTCATTTCCTTTCCTGCTTTCCTTCTAAATTGCACGTTTGTATTTTACGTGTATTTTGATATTTTTTGTTAGGTTTTGGTTGTACACCAATGTTATATGAATGTGTCAGTAAACTCAACAACACACTACAAACATATTCATCGTCACAAGATAGATGCGGGTAAAGTTCAATTAAATAAAGATTACAAATGAATATATATAACTTCTTACAACCGAACGACAAATCTCAATCAATTTATAATGGCGTGATATATCTTTGCTAACTTAAGAAGACACACTCGCTATAATACATCATTAATAGCTAATGAAAGACCGAATCTATCTCTAGCTCTATCACCAAGGATATGAACTATTCAGACAACTTTAACCCCAAAGCAGTTGAATTAATGCAATTTATGGAACGCACTCGGAAAAATTATGTGCTTTCTTGAAAATAACTAAAATATCCATTTGTTTCAGTGGTTACCAGATATATGAACAATGTCTAAATAATGTAGAAGTATTGTGTAATAATGATGAAAAATCCACCGTACAAAATGATCTAAAGATTATAAAACCACTTATTTCACAACTCTGTCAAGGTGAGTAACTGAAAGGCGCATTATTTTGCAAAGGGGTTATCATTTTTAATCATTTAGACTAAAAAAAAAAAAACAAGTTAAAGGCATTACGGTTATTTTTTCAAATACTACGCTTATATTCGGACACCTGTATTGTAGAATTTAGAAATTTGGCAACTGTAGTTGGATATTTTATACATCTTACGCAATCGTATTTATTGTAGCTAGGATTTTCATGTTTATTTGTCTCTTCTAGATAATGGTGCCAGTTCTGCTAAATTAATGACGTTACCAATATTTCTATATTTTGTCTATTCTGTAATGTAATAATTGTTGTACAATATGTACATTATGTATATAAAATGTATATATCCTGATTTGCATTTAACGTGCGATTTGCTTTTAATTTGAGTAAAGATGCAAATAGACGACGTACAGTTCGCGGTGTGGTATATGCTGTGCTATTGTAAAACCATAATTATCCGTGTTTGAAATTTTAAAAGACGACTCGCTTTTTCCAGATTTTCCATTTTGAAATCATCCAGTTCCACCCCGTCTTCACATAGCTGGGACGAAGGATGTCTTGGTGTCAGAGACTATAATCTACAAGACTATTATTTAATCAGCATTTCATAAAAATTCGGTAGTAATTAAAAGTATATGTTTTATAAGAGATACTCTCTTATAGAAGCACTGGCCCAGGTCACAAGTAGAGACAATAGATTTCAGCATTGGAATACGTCAATTTGAAAAGAAGTTACTTATTTCTGGAGAAATTTACAAGATAAACAAATAATTCAAAAATGAAAAGCGATAGCTTCAGGGAGTTACTGATTTTTTTTTATTCCTTTTGTAAGCAGTCACCAAACGTTTAGTATAGGTGTTAGGGAATTCGTCCTGGAGTTCTTTATAAAAGTGACAATCACAGAGACATTTTTAGCTGAAGAATTGTAGTTGTAGACTCCAGGCGGATCTCTTAAATTATATAATAATACTCATATTGTGAAATAAAATAAAATAGTTCAAGCTATTTCTAGAGATTTATAGATACCGCAGAAAAATATAAACTTTCTCAAGTGGGAAACGGAATTTTGGAAGTGCAAGTAGAATGAACTTTTGGCCCATTACTACCGTCTAAATACGCCACGGAGTAGAAATTGACAGGACGAGGATGTAGGGACGAGTAGAGTGCAGGAATGTGAGTGAAGTATGATCAGAGGAAGGAGAAAAAGAGTCAGGTGGAGAGTGAAACAGTATAAAGGAAGGGGATGAGAACAGCTGCCATTCATGATTCTTCCTCGAGGCCATGTCAAATCCCGTATTGGTGATGGAGTCCGATAAGTTAAGGAACTGTTAAGAGTTAGAGTGCACGGTAGAGGAAGATTAGTTATCAAGGTTATTCGATTGGAATTGAGACAGGATTTGCATAAAAACGATTGATTTAGGGAGGAGAACTAAGGAAGGATATTCTTTTAATTGAGAGATACTCATTGTACCTCGAATTACAGTACTCCGAAGACTTATAAGGGGTTGCCACTTCTATCTGTCTATACAATGCCACTCATGCCTGAATTAATCTTTACTGAAGATTGACGTTAGATTCAAATAATTTTCATAAGTATCCTCACTGGTCAAATAGAATTGTTGAAAATTCCTTCCCTTGAAGTAAAACGTATATAAAACGATAGGCCAACTATTTCAATTAAAAATTTTGATTCGCATATTTGATAAAAAAAAAAAAAAAAAAAAAAAAGAATGAATTCGGAAGACTTCGGTTGTTTGGACTCGATTTCGCAAATGACGTTTTAAATAATATAGTAATAATAAAAAAATTCATATTGTAAAAAAAAGATTAAATTGATATTTTAAGATTAAGCAGTCTGTTATAGTTGTCTAATAGGCTAGTATAAGGTTTTATAAGAGATACTCTCTTATAGAACCATTGGCCTAGGTCACAAATAGGGAATGTATTAAACTTGATATAAATTCTCATGAAAAATAAGTAATTCGATTTGATTCGCAGATCGTCGTAACGAAATTTTAATTTTTGCTAATCATAAGAAATATTGATTCACAAGATAAGCTTGTGAACATTAAAAAAAAAGGACAATAAGAGAAATGCGAAAGGACTAAATAAAACGTGGAATACAATGATTTGATTGGATCCAGTACGCCAGCGAATACAGCCAATTATAATAAAGCCCTCGACAGAATGGGTAAGGCAGAAACGCTTGGGATATTCTCTGAATTGAGAGATTTGTACCATCGTGCAATATTTCGAATTACAGTACTCCCGAAGACTTGTAAAGTATTGTCGTTTTCTATCTCTCTAAACAATGCCACACAATCCTGAAATAACCACGTAAAGGGGTTGAAATTGGATTCGAATAATTTTCATAAGTATCCTCAATGGTCAATTAGAATTGCGGAGAATATAGAACAAAACGTTATTATTTCAATTATATATTTGGCGACAAAAAGACTGTAAAAATTGTCTTATTGTTTACAGACTTTCTGTCGATGACTCTTAAACGTATATATTTCTAAATTAGATCAACACTTTTTAAGTAGCCTTCGCCATGTAATATACGCCCACTGGTAGTTTTTAGATACGAACATTTGGCAGAATGATAACAATCACCAGTATGAAATACTTTGTTCAAAAGAATCAAACAGCTTTGGAATTGTCAGGAGTATTGAACAAATTTAATAATACTACTCTATCTCTTTTCAATTTTGTTGATATTACACAGTTTCACACATTACCCTTAATGGCCGTTGTATACCACTCTCCCCTATGTCAAGAGAAGATAACTCGTTAACCAACATGGCGGCTGCCGAAGGGAGTCTTCATGCTAAAATGCTCTTGCATCTGGCAAAATCACTTGCATCGCTGAAACCAACACCCTTCGATAAGGTAATTATGGTATTCTCCCTGATATTATTGAAAAACGTCGAGAACGGGACATGGATATTGCCTTAGCTAGGTGTAATGTATTCATCCGTAGAAAAATAGGGGAAAATGAACCTATTTTGTTATTGTCTGGATGGTGCATTTTATCAAAGTGAAATTAAGTGATTCTCTATAGAACCATTTTAATTGTTAAGTCATTGACTATGACAGTACATTCAACTAACTCCTTGTGTCTCTGGGTTCATTGAAATTGGCCCAGAAAACCTCGCCTTACCTTGCAAAGTAATTTTTACACATATCTTCAACTAGGGCTGGGTAGATTTATGGAAATAATTGATTATCATCGCTAAGAATTTATAATTTCGCTATCGATTATCAATTATATGTCAAAGTTACATTTTCTTCACTGTACCTGTTAACATGTAGTAATCTCTTCCAAATAGTTTCCCTTCAGCACATAACTTAATCGCAATAAGCTATAAGAAGCGATCAAAGCAAGAATAAACTTCTATGATGTAAATAAGCTTATAACCCATGAAATTAGGAATTTTAGCATGTTTTTAATTCAATATTTACAGGGTTTTTCATTTAAGTCATTTAGATTATTAATCAATTATTGAGCGATAGCCTGCCATGGATAATCGATATCAATTTGGTAATTGATACCCAGCCCTATCTGCAACATTCCAGCATGACTTTCAGCTATGTTTACAATCCTGAATTGCCTCGATGAATGGTATCGTTCTCTCAGTAGTCAGAAATAAAGATTTCCAAATCATGAATTTTTTGTCTCAGATTGCATTTGGTCCATAGAAAGATATTGTTTGTTTATTTGTTTTTGAAATCACAATGGTCTTAGAGTCCCTATAGTTTAATGTAAAATGACTCTTGTTAAAGGTAAAAAGATTAATCAGTTTATGTCCAGTAGAAAGTAAAACTGGTAGTTTAAAGATAGATTCCAGAGGACAAGATGCTGTGATAGCTTTAGGTGTTTATTTCTTAGAATCTGGCTTACAGGTAATCTTTCCTCTTGATTTATTGCTTGTAATAGAATACTGTGAAAAATGTTATTGGGGGGCTTACAATGAGATTTCCATTTCTGTCATTTCAATTGGGATCTAATATATCATATTGCAAGGAGTTCAAAGCTTTTCCACAAATATTTCCACCTAACAGAGGCTAGCCAGCTTGATGAAAGAAAACTAGATTATGTTTATGCCGAATAGAACACTCTACAATTGGTATACATAATGCTAAATGACAAAAAAAAGTCTTCTTATGCAAAATTGTCCATCTTTGTCTTATGCTATCTTACAAAATTCTATGTAAGCTTTATATGGAAACTACTAAAACTAAATACAGTCTTTGCTTTTTTTCAGTATAAAGATGAGATCCTACCACTGTTATTATCTATATTGAGGGGTTTATCTAAAGCCAAATATATTGATGGACCAAAAGGACTGAATAAATTTAGTAAGTTTGATAAGTATTTGTATATTATTTAGAACATTCAGTTGAATGTATCCCTTAAAATGTGAATATAAGCTTCTGTATAAATTCTTTCATGATTTCTTTTCAGAGCTTCCCATGACAGAAAATTTTAGTTTTTGTTTAAATACTATTTTAAGTGATGTAGCTTTTAGAGATGATAATTCTAGAGATGAGGTAAGCTACTTCTTTACCACTTCCACTCAGCTACCCATTAACCCCTTTCACTCAGCTACCCAGTAACCACTTCCACTCAGCTACCCATTAACTCCTTTCACTCAGCTACCCATCAACCCCTTTCACTCAGCTTCCCAGTTACCCCTTCCATTCTCTAACCTATTAACCCTTCCACCCTGCTACCCATTACCCTTTCCACTCTTCCACCCATTAACCCCTTCCAATCTGTTACTCAGTAACCCCTTCCACACTCCTACCCAGTAACCCCTTCCACACTCTTACCCATTAACTCTTCCACTCTTCTACCCAGTAACCCCTTCCAGTCATCTACCCAGTAACCCCTTCCACTCTGCTACCCAGTAACCCCTTCCAATCTGTTACCCAGTAACCCCTTCCACTCTTCTACCCATTAACTCTTCCACTCTTCTACCCATTAACCCTTCCACTCTTCTACCAGGTAACTCCTTCCACCCAGTAACCCCTTCGATGCTGCTACCCAGTAACATCTTCCACTCTGCTACCCAGTAACTCTTCCAAACTCTTACCCATTAACCCCTCCCAATCTATTACCCACTAACACCTTCCACATTATTTCCAACTGGAATGATATGTCCAACTGTTAAATTTAAACAAAAATTGGCCATAGTTTCTACATGCTACAGGTGTGCAGTTTAATATCCTTTGACAGGTGAAATCTAAAACCGCTTGTACAGGTAATAATTCCATCATTTAAACTCTATTGGGTGCTTTCCTTCATTAGCCATTGAGTATACACATTTCACTTTAAACTGGATTTTTTGAATTATCTTGTAGATAATATCTGCTCAGTTAGATTTAATGGAAGTTTTAACAAAACTTTGTGAAGGAGCATTTGATATCCCTAAAGGTTTGTTGTTTTCACAGATTATACATATGTTTACATTTGATTGAATAAAACTTCATTTTGCACATCCAGACTGTTACAGTAGATGAAGACTTCATTCAATCAAGTTAGGCCTGATTCTAGTGAATATGTTATGTTCCAATAGTAACCAATAACTAAAAAGCCTTTGAAAAGTTACCATAGTTGAGAGTTTCTCGCTACCAAGAATAATAATGGCCGAAACAGGCTTTAGCTTTTTTCCCCAAATTTTACAGCTTTACATAGAATTTTGGCTTAATTCAATTGTTCAAGATTTTTAAAATCATTTCTCTTTGTTTCAGATGTATTGTGTTTTAATATTGTACCTATTTTATTGGGCTTGGCTAGATCAATTGGCAGGTCAAGTGATGAAGACAAACCTTTAATATCCAATGTTTTATATGTAAATAATGGTGGCAAATCAGTACTCCCAGTTGCAGAGCAAGAGACTGTGCAGACGCATCGGAGAGCTTTTAGTACTTTTAGACCAATTTTACCCCGGACTTTATCTTCGTTGGTAATCAATACAGAAAGTCCTAGTCCAACTTCACCAATACCATTTGATTACCCAGAGAACAGACGAGAGCGATCTCCATCACCTTTATTACCTCCAAGTAGAGAGAGCATACATAGTAACTCTGAAAAAGAAGAGCGACCACCTTTGACATCTGTTTACTTGAATAAAGTAGCTGCTAGTTTCACCAGAACTAAACCATGGGGTTTCGAGATCATTCCAGAACAGGATCATTTAGAATTTTGCAGTTCACATCTACAGACATTAGTTAGTGTGGTAAGCTAAAGTCATGTTATAATGTTAGCACAATATACAATGCGACCTTGTCAATGTAAAGTCACAAACCCTGATAGTTCACAAATAGGACATATTCGGACAGGTTCAGCTTCACTTAAAAGTAAGTGACTACAACAAGAAGTGTAAGTTATCCCTACAACGAGGTGAAGAAGTTCTGTATCATATTCTTTGTTGCATATTATACAAGTGAATTGAATTATTTTGTCCTTTTCATTTACTATGCATTTTAAATTCCTTTTTTTCAGGCTAAAAGATTATTGAATAAAGATGTATTAAAAAATTTAGACAATCATTTAAAAGATTTCTTAGCTGAAGTCCAGGTAAAATGTTAATATCATATAAAATATATAACTATTTCTTAACTAGATAACCTCTGGTTTTAGTTAGTAAGATATTTGTAATTCAATTTCAAGTACTTGGTTTCAAGTCAAGAATTGATTTATATCAAATCTGAATTTGTGTCTAATTGTGATCATTTTATTGAGCTTAGGCAAATTTCTTTTTCACAAGAATATCTCACCTACATGTAGTCTGATTTTACAATTTCAGAAAGAGAATTTATACAGATTTCCATATAAATCATTTAGTGAAACTATAACAGTTGTTATTGTTACCTTAATGAGAGATGTTCTAGAACAAGAAAAAGGTAGGATATGGATATATTTCTAAGAATGCCAATATTCTAAGACTAACTCTTACAACATTTGAATGTGAATGCTTTATAATAACAATAAACAGAGTTATCTTCCTAGTTTACCATTGAATCTGGGAATATATATAATCTAAACATTCATACCATACTGCAGGTTTGACAACTACAATTACTCCATATTGTTTAAGTAAGTTAATAGATTTTAAGTATGTTTACAAATTTCGTAATATTCTTCTTTTAAGAATTTCAGTTATGAATGTATTTTAATCTTAAACTTAACAGCATTTATTTGTTTGACAACTTTGAATTTTTTTTATAAAAAACACTAAGATATATTTGTTTTGTATGAATCTTCTGTTTTGTTATGTTTACTTGACTTTATGGTTGGTATAATTTATTCTTATGGTATATTTAATGAATGATTTAAAAGAATTTTATGTATTCTATGGTTGAATTTATGTAGTTTACTTACAGTATTACCACCATGTATTGAAATTATTGTGACTACTTCACTTGTTTTTGTCTGTATTAAATCTAAAAATGAACATATTTCTTGTTTCACCAACTGTATGAAAATGTTTCTTGGTCATATATGTTCTTATATTTACCTGTGCTTCACAAAATCTATTTTTAGATCTCCCAGCATCTTTTATGAATGATGTTCAGGATTTTGTGAAGAGCTTGTATCATTCTGGACAGGTTGATTTGGAGAAAAAGTCCAGCCATCATCATAAAGACCATGAGAAAGATTTTGAGTTCAATCCATATCAGCTGACTGTTTATAGTAATGCTGCTTGTGTTGATTTATTATTCTGGGCTATACGAGAAATATCAGGTATGTTCTATGTGTGCTTTTGGTGGAGGGTTGTAGCTCTGAGCTTAGTGGGTAAGTGTGTTTAGAATTGCATGTTGTTATTTGTTTAGAAAATAGTCATTTTGGATTCCAATGACTGCAGTGATTGTTTTATGATCCTAAATAGATATGAATAATTCTTACAACACTAATTGGTCCAAAACACAGTATTGTACAGACTGTAAAATGTTCAAATATGTCATTTTTGCCTAAACTCTAGCTACCAAAATACTTTATTGCCTACACAATAGTCATATCCTCTCTTAAGCACAATCTCGTAATTTATTTTTACTTTTTACAGAGGCTGAAAATTTATGTTTAAAACTAACAGAGAAAATTAGTAATAATACAGAAAGAAAATTACTGTTGTCTCATGCTCCATTATTACTAGTTTCATTAGAGGTAGGATTCTTATTGGGTTTTTGTTGAGAAAATTGATCAGTTCTTCTGCATTAGGATTTGATAAAGTTAGAAGGAGCGAGAACGAATTGAGACTATCATCTCCAAAAATTCTGAAAAAATATTTATTGTGGAAAATCCTGTCGAAATTTATTTTTATTAGCAAGTTTTGGGAAATTTAATGGTATTTTATGTTTTTAGGCTTTAGGGAAGTTGGCAGTAAAATTTCCACCACTAGCTAGTACAATGGTAGCATCATTACGAGATTTCTTAGTTTCACCATCACCAATACTTAGTAAACTCAATAAATACGCCTCCTCAGAAAATAAAGGAGGGATCAAAATAACAATAACAGATGTTTCTCACAACAAACCAACTAAATCAAATGGGGATAATGGTAAGAAACACCCCAACAAGTTGCTAACAGCTCTGGAGAATCTAAGAGATAATGCCATTCACAATATCTGCAGGTAATATTTGTGTACTTCCTTACAACTCCTGTACTTAAATTGAAGAAGTCGATGAATGGAATCTTTTATGAAGATGTTTCTATCTTAAAATTTCATTGGGTTGTGGAATTGTATTTTTTATGGGCTTGTTTTTTTTCTTTTTTGAAATATTTTAATCATTTTTATATTGTTTAAAACACCAGAGAATTTGATTGGTTTGTACATAACCTTAACTTAAGTTAAGTAGAAATTATACATATACCCTGGTATTCTGATATTATTTTTAGAGCATTAAAAGCCGGTTTAATTGAGGATCCTGTGTGTGTTCAAGCGTTTTTAGCAGCCATCTCTAACAGATTATATCAGGCAGAAATGAGTGACAGGTATCCCAACTTTAATCTTACAAAGTATTACATTCATACTTAAAGTTACAAAAAAAGCACAATTCATGAAGAGAAGTGCTTGGTTTGTGTTGTCTTAACCTATCAATTATGATTTGCAACATCATGTTCTTTCACACCTATGCCCTCCTTTATGTTATGATTTGCAACATTTATTACGTTTATGTCCTATGCTTGTGTCTATGAATTGCAGTATGATGATCTTTATTCAAAGTTATTTTAAAGCTATGTCCCATGCTTGTCTGTATGATTTGCTACACAATGATTTTGATTTAAAGTTATGTTTCCCCACTTTTCTCCTTCCTGTTGCATGATCTTCTCACATGTTACGTCTTATTTCAGTTACATGATGACTTACAGTCATATTCTTCATGAAGGGTACTTTACTTCATTGATAATGCCATGCTAGATCTATCCATGTGTTATGTTGCTATGCCCATTTATGATTTTTGTTATGTGATGCATGGCTTGGTTAAGATGAAGAATAGTTCACAGTTTTATTGATAATGACCCAAAGTCAAATGAACTAGGTAGTAGAAAAATTGAGAAGATACTTTACATGATATATTATATGATATAAGCAAGGCTCTGTTTGCTGCACATAGAATTAATTAGCAAGTGAACTACAAATATGTTCAATTCTACACAAGATCCCCTGTCATGTGTTAGAATGAAGTTATTACCTCATGATTCATAAGAGTCAGCATATTTTTTACTTTGAATTATTCTTCATCGCCATCATATTTTGTGTAATTTTTATGGTGAATGTTTATTTTTCCCTATAGATTAATTATGGTTTGATTGTATTTTTTATTTTTTTGAATGCTAGAGCTTTTGCAAAGGCAGTTGATTCAAAATGGCAGACTTTGAAATTGGTATTAAAAGCTACGCAGCAGTCAACACCAATAGCTTCCGTCAATAAAAAACAGCAAAATATCCAGAGGCAATGATTGCTTATTTTTCTTGTGTTGCTTTTAGTTGTGCTATACTGATGGGGCTCTCTATTGGTCTGCACCTTTCTTAATAGTTCAGTTCTTTTTTTGTTGCTATTCTTTTTTGCTTTCACTACTATTCTTGACATTTTCAACATCTTGTACTAACAACTTTAGATTACAGAATATTTAATATTATTATAACATTTTTGGTTACAAACACCAACATTTTTTATTAGGCTGTTATGATAAATCCCATCAGAATAATTTGAGAGACAGCAAATTTTATCTGTATTATGAGTTAATATGGCTCATTTAAAAGTTGACTATAGTTGAATCATACACATAAATAAATCATAACCATTCAGAAAGTGCATCTTTTGCTATTTGGTTAAAAGAATGAAGAAAAAGTCTTTTAACCTCATATCCAAGGTGCTTAAAATTATTGTCTGTAGTTACACTAAGATAACAAAGGGTGAGATTCTATTGGGTTCCTTTACTTACAACTTTAAAGCATTTTTCAGTACCACAATCACAGTTCTGGTTCTTAAAATAAGACTTAAACGAAATTTAGAAGTGAGGTGTACAAATCACAAACACAAGACAATATTATGGAATAAGCATTGCTTATAATGCACACTGCTTTAATACAAATTTGGTTCTTTCTGATGTTTCAAATGCAAAAATTACCCCTTTAATATAACATCTTTACTTTGTATATATCTACTTCAATAATATTATCTTTAGCCAAAAAACTTGAAAATTTTTGATCGTTAATCAATAATAAGTATACCAGACATATATACTTGTTGACAAATTTATAAATGTAGTTCTTTTGGGTATATTAAAAATAATTATATGATAGAAATTGTTATATTTCTGTGTTGATATTATGTTATATTTAAAGCAAGTATTAAGACTAAATAGTTTAAATTAGTTCTTCCTTTTTTTTAATTTTTTTTATTTGCATTGTATTTTTCAATGGGCTCTGAGGCTCCCCTAAAATCTCATTGATGTGTCAGAGCAGTATATAAAGTTGTATTATTATCTGTTGTATTGAAGTTATGTACTACCTTATGAGCGAGTTCTGAACCATCAAACTTAATTGAAAAATGATAAAGTTTTATGATAAATTTTAGGGAATCCAACTTAATATCCACCAATACAATATTAACATTAGGACATTTAGCTGTGGCATTGAAAGATACGCCTAAAACAGTGGAGTCTATATTACAAATATTTCAACAGAGATTCTGTGCTCCGCCATCACCATTAGATGTACTGATTGTAGATCAGATGGGGTGTATGATAATGGCTGGTTGTGTAAGTGTTATTAAACTGTGTACTTTCTTAATATCCTAGTTTTTGAAATAATCTTTAATTAATGTTAAAAATATTTCTGAGTGAGGAAAAAAGTTGATTTATGATTTTCAGTGTCTATGTGATTTTACTAGAATCTTTTTTTTAGACTGAAAATGTTAAATGCATGACTTTATATAAGGTAATAGGCAACTACACACTTACTGACTTACTTTCAAAGGAAATTTGTTTTAGGTGTGATTTGCAATTTATATTTACAATATTATGCAATTTTTCACTTAACACCCAACACTTATATTACAAACAATCTAGATGTAATATGATTATTGTATTATATTTCAGTCAGGTATTTATTCAGCTGTAATGTCAATGTTTACACAAATATCAGTAGAAAGTTCAGCACCATATTCTTCTGGTGAAAAAGATGAAAAGCTTAGAGGCTATAGGTACGTTACTTCAATTATTATATTTCAATTTATATTTGAATTGAATTGAATGGAGTTTTACGTCCTACTTTTCTGCCTTCAATTTTTAAACTTATGTATTTAAATAACAGTTATAGGAAGGAAAGCAAATGTTTTTAATTGATAATTAATGCCAGCTGAATTTTAACTAAATTTCAGCCAGTTTTAATGGAAAAAAAAATTTGATTTCATTGTAGACAAGTCTCCCACTCTGTTATCAATGCCTTTGCTAATATATCAGCTAACATCCAAGGTGAAACAGAACAATTAGATTTACTAGGTCGTCTCTTAGAACTCTTCGTACAAATGGGACTAGAGGGAAAAAGAGCCAGTGAAAAAATTTCCACCACAGCTAAGGTTCGTATATTGAATTATATCATGATAACTACCAAGTAAATATTTTTATCAATATTTCAAAGAAATAATATGGAAAACTATCAGATTTTTTCTTGGATCCGAAAAGTGATAAATTTTTCTTACCATTTCCTCCTATGGTTGTAAACATAGATTTGATGGGTGTATAGAAACCTGTATATCAAAACTTACCAATACATCTTAACCTATGTACTATTTTCAGGCATCAAGTAGTGCTGGTAATTTAGGTGTGTTAATTCCTGTGATAGCTATAGTAAGTGAAATGATCAATTTTTCAGGAAGCTTATAACACCAGATAATTATCAAATCATTGGCCTTTTGGATGTGGATGTTGTAATTTGGTTCATGTTTTTCTTGAAATACAGAAATCAGAGAGCTCTGATAGGAAATAGAAATGGTGCCAATATCAGCTTTTAGTATAGAGTCATTCAACTATAAAAAGGCTTTTTCTTGTTTCTGTTTAAGTCTTGTTGAAATTATAGAAAATTTAGAAGCAATATGAAAAGTACTCTAAAGTTCAAGGTTTAGATACAATTTTCAGTGTTTGTTTTAATGTGTGTTGTTTTTTCAGTTAACAAGAAGACTACAGCCAATTAGAGAACCTAATAGAAGATTACATAAATTATTTCGTGATTTCTGGCAGTATTGTGTTGTTATGGGATTTGCTACAGAAGGTTCAGGTACTACTTATTATTAAAACTTGTTGACTTTAATATATCTTCTCTTGATCATTTTGATTTTTGTTATTGTTATTCTTAGTTTTCAATATACTATCTGAAACTTGGTGTAAAATTTGTTAACCTTGTCTATCTTTGTAAACTTGTTGTCTTGTTAATAGGTATATGGCCACCAGATTGGTATGAAGGTGTATGTGAAATAGCTACAAAATCACCATTATTAATATCACGAGAACATCTCAGTAAAGAATTACAGTATAATGCTGCTTTAAGAAATGATTCAGCTGCCCCTGTAAGTGATGATTAGATAGATATTATTTATTTATTGTTGCCAACATGAAAAACATTAAAGAGTAAATATCTGTATGTCTTTTACAAAGCTGGAGAAATCTACCATACCCACAGGTGACAATAATCTAAGTTTATGTACAATTATTGAAATGCATGCAGATATCACCTGCTAAATAGTGTTGTAATACACAAAGTTGAAAATGATCTACAAATAATTTTTTTTTAAAAGGGGGAGCTGTATGAATTGCGAGTTAATATCAGTAATCTATTAGATAATCCAACAGAAGTTGTTACTTTAATCCATAAGTTAAACTTCGCACAGTGTACTTATTTATTATCAGTTTATAAACTAGAAGAGTTAAGGTGAGATCTTCTTTCTTTATAGAAGTTACATTAAAATCACTGACACTAGCATTAGTAATTGTTATGAGCAAGGGGGGCTTGAACTTTAGATACCAACTAAGCTATCCCACTGTGTATTTGTATTGTATTTGAATTACATGTATCACAATAATATATATCAGTTCTCCTATGTAGTTTTTAATAAAGTTAATGTCTTATATATGAAGAAAAGCGTATCAATGGAAGTAGTTCCTTCATTGAATACAACTTCAAAGTTTTATATGCAGTGATTTGTTACACAAGGATAGATAAGAATTCCCTCATGATTGTATGAAATGCTGAAAAACTTAAATTTATTATAATATAAAACTTACCCCACTGTAATATTTATATCTTTTAGAATAATGAATTCCACAGATATTCTAGCATTCCATGGTTTATTTGAGTATTTAGAAGATAAAACTATATTTAGAGATAAAGATGGTAAGAGACTTATCAATTAAGAACTAAGAAATTGTACAATTATGCAGACTGTATTAAGAAAAATGGGTATATACATCAAAGTATCATCAAATTGACAAGATCTCATCTCATTTTGCCAAATGACATGAGAAAAGTAAACAATTTCAATGAACAGATGCAAAAAGTTCTACCAGTGGCATCAGAAATTTGATTACCTTCACAGCACCTAATCACCTAGCAGACGACATTCCAATTTGCTATCAACTGAGTAATTCCATTAGTGAGAGAAGTCATTGGTTAACCTCTGTAGTATTTTGAGGTATCGAAATAAATTTGATATGTTAATTTCTGCTCTTTATATTGATAAATTCCATTTTCTGTTTATTAGGTATGTGGCAATGTATTTTGGCAGTAGCTGATAAAATATTTTACAGATTTCTTGGCATGATCTCTCTAAAGGTAAAACAATCAGATGTTTGAAATTAAAGTCGCTAAAATCTTGATTTTCAAGCAATCAATCACCATGACAAAATGTTTTAAATTGGAGTTCTAACTATGCAATATTTGGCTAAAGATTTGACCATGACTTTAAGTAATTTATTTTCTAGCCTAAAACAGAAGAAAGAGAAGAAGAGTTAGATAGACATGCCCAGTTTTTACTTGTCAAGTTTAACTGTATACATAGTAAAATACGACGTGTAGCTGATAAATATTTATCTAGTTTAGTAGATAGGTAAGATAGTCTTTGATAATTTAAAGAAGAAAACTAATATATCAGTGCCTTCTGACAAATTTAAGGATGCTCAAGCCAGCTGAATTAGTGCCAAGCAAGAACTATATTAGTTCGGATTTGGGACTATCTTTTTTCTTCAATGTAATTAGAAAATTTCTGTTCAAATTGAAAATAAATTTTTTGATTTTCAGATTTCCATATCTACTATGGAGTAAAGTTGTGTTAACAACCATGTTAGATATTTTACAAGTTTTATCTAGATCTTTAGAAATGGTGAATACTCTTCTATTATTTTGTTTATTAAATTATTTCAATAAATTAAACTCAATCAATAAATATCATATGCAAGTACAGTTAGTTTGTCTTTAAGTAGCAATTATTATCAGACATTATCCATGGGGTGAAAGAATATGATAATAGAATAAGATATTCAGATTTGCACTCTTCGTACACAATCAGATTAGAAATACTTAGAATCTTTTGTTGTATTGACAAGCACTCATCTAATACTTTTTGATACAAAATCCTCATTAGGACAACTCTTTGATTTACAATGTATTGGATGACACCAAAGATTGCTTATGATTCTAGGATTGACTGGTATCTAATTATTTTCAGGATGCCCACCAAGATGCACCAGAGTTAAAAGTACCACATACTAAATATACGTTACGAGCTATGGATAGTATTGTTGATAGAGAGGCACGTATATTTTCTATTTGTATATTGTAGGGTAATTATGATTCAATTGTATTTCTATAATGCTAGACAGTACTCTAGATCAGACATCTTGTCTTGTCTTGTTAGATATCAAGCTCCTTTCTTACTCTTCAATTAAAGTGATTGTTAGGCCATACAAAATAAATCAACTGTTTTACAGACTCCATACTCTCCAGTAAAATAGCCAGCCCTCTGAAGTTATTGACATTTTGAAATGAATGATAAATACTTTGACTCTCTCTGATTTTTTTTCATTTGAAAGTTTTAAAAAGTGCTTTTAGATAATAAATAATTAATTTACTCTCTCGTCCATATTTATTTTGTATGGTCTTAATCTTATTGATAAAATATAATTGCTATTAAGACAAAATTTTCTCTTATGAAAGGGAAAACCTGCATTACTTTGTAATAAGTATTGCTTGACATGTATATGCTATCATTGTACTGAATAATTTTATCCACTGGATTTAATGGAAGGTTTCGCTACAAAACATAACTAATGAAAAAAATATCATTGATTTTTTTTTGTAGACTGTTGTAAAAGATTTTGTATTTCGAAGCACTGATATTTTACAAGAATCATTGAAATGGGCACCAAATACCACTCGCTCTCATCTTATTGAGTATTTATTACGTATGGAGAACTCTACAGCTGGCTTGTTTCAACACAGTGGTTTAGCTCTAGTAACAGAAAGTGTTTTAAATTATGCTGGTTATAATAAGAACTCTGCACCTTTAGGAGTAAGTTGAGAGCTGTGTCTTTAGGAATGTAAAGCAGTAGTCTCCCAGCAGACAACAAATCAAATGCTCTGCTTTTCAAGAATTGAATTGTAATTGAGGGAAAGATTTGATGGTCAAAGAAATTTCAAAACTTTAGACAAACCTTTTATTTAGAACAGGATGGTATAACAGGTTTAAAACACCCATGTTTATTCTCATTTAATATTTTGTTGAAATTCTTTTGGATTTTATTTTGTTGTTCAATAGTAAGACAAAGATAGATTTGTATTAGTTGTGAAAAAAAAACACAGATTGTATCATGTATGACATATTTCTTCTTTTTTTATAGAGTGCCACGTTAGATAGAAGACCTAAATGTGTGAATACAAACAGTTCTAATTTTATGGCTAACCTCAGTTTAAGAAGTAGATATTCAGGAGAGGTGAGTTGAATTGAATAAATAGAATAGAATTAGGATTTATCACTATCAATAGCATTTGTCTTGAAGAAATATATCTCATATAGCTAAGCACATTACTTAAAGGTATTGCAAACTCATTTTCAGTCAGATGTCTGTGAGTCTAACACTGTGAACACTAGTTCACTTACGGCTAAGCATTTCTTTAATTACAGGAACCACAGACATCTGACTGAAAATTCGATGATGTCTATTCTCTATAGCTCAGTCAGTAGCAAATTTCCTAAGCTTGTAGAAAATTGATTGTGATTTTTTCTATTACCAAGGTAAATGGTATGCAGATGGTTTGTTCTGATAATGAAGAATTAAGTAATTTAATGTGTACACAGTTAGCAGCTGCTATTGGAAAAAATGGTGAGTGCTTAATATTTCCATTTAGTATATGCTTTAGAGTTACCATGTTGTGTATGTTTTAGAGTTACCATGTAGTGTACGTTTTAGTGTTACCATTTAGTGTATGTTTTAGAGTTACCACGTAGTGTATGCTTTAGAGTTACCATGTTGTGTATGTTTTAGAGTTACCATGTAGTGTACGTTTTAGAGTTACCATTTAGTGTATGTTTTAGAGTTACCACGTAGTGTATGCTTTAGAGTTACCATGTAGTGTATGCTTTAGAGTTACCATGTAGTGTATGCTTTAGAGTTACCATGTAGTATATGCTTTAGAGTTACCATGTAGTGAATGCTTTAGGGTTTCCATGTAGTTTTAATTAGGACAATACCAAGTGGTTAACCAATCTCTTGTAATGATTATAATATTTGTATTTTCAGATGGTCGTATTATTAAAGAGATTATGTTTAGATTATGTGCTTTACAGATCCATTTAAAAGGTAAAAAAACTTTGTATATTCTCATTTTCATTTGAAACCTATTTTCCTGTCTAAATTCTATTCCAATGCTTTTATAATTATAAAAAAGCCAAAATCACAGGAACAAGTTTGGTGTTTATAACCTCAATATCAATAGAAGTGCTTTTGTTTCAAAACCGAGGAAATCTACAATAATGTACCCATTGAACTTTTTTAGATTTGAATAGAAAAATCCTACATACAATGTGTTGGACACCTATCAACCATTTTGAAGAGAGAACAATGGAGGCTAGTGTTGCATGCTGGGAATGGCTATTGTCTGCTAGACCAAATTTATCCACAGAGGTGAACTGAATGTTTTCAATCAGAATCTAAAAAGTTCTTCAAAGCCATGCATTTAAAAGGATTGGGACATGTTATTGTTTGATATACAGGCTGAGATCTCAGCTTAATTTTGAATTACTCATATTTCGTCCGATCTTAGATCATCAAATAAAAATTAATAGCATTGCAAGATATTAATGGTATTGTTGTCACTGTTGAAGAATGTCTATTTATTTCTAGGTCCCTAAGTATGATTGTTCATTACATTATGTTTCAGTTCCTGTGTGAAATGGCAGCAGCTTGGCAGATGTCTGTAGATTTAAAGCTTGGAATTTTTGAAGAAGACCAACCGATACCAGATCCTCTAGCTAAAAAAGAAGGTGTGGACCTAGCTCCACAACCACCTTACACTGCACCACATGCTATCTGGACTAGATTCTTAATGGAGAGGATTGAAATAGCTAAATATAGTAACTCAGTCCATGTGGATATCTTGTTGAGTTTGTTGAACAAATCTTTACCAGTTGGTGTTGGTAAAACACCAGCTATCATCTCTCGACATCCTGCAGCCATAGGTCCTAGAACCAGGTGAGAAATCTTCTCTTTTAATTTTCATGTAGTACCATTTAAAAGTAACTATTTCAAGAATATTCAGAAAGTGAAATCAATATTTACTTTCAATACTTATCTATAGTAAATATTTTCAGCTTATTTTCACGAAATACTTTTTGAGTACTTTCTGTTTGATGTGTTTTGTGAAAAGCAAAGCATATTGTGTTGAATTGACTTGTAAATATTTGCTAGGGATCCATGCTAAGCAATAAATCTTTTCTATGATTTGATTAACAGGTTATTGATAATGGGTCTATCATTATTACAAGGTGATATTTTACCCAATACAGCTGGTAAAAGTGTACTCAGAGAAAGAATCTATGCTGCATCATTGGACTACTTCTGGTAAGGTCTTTTATCAAATTCAAACCTGACACCATGTTGTCTCAGGGAGTTTGACGCTCGCTAACCTGAAGGTCCAGGGTTCAATCCCAGCATGGGTCGAGATAATGCTTTTGGATTTTTCAACTGGGTAATTACCTGTCCTCATTAGTCGAATCAAATACAGAAAAGTAGGACATAAAACTCTGTTCGTTCATTGATTTCATATCATTTTCAAATTCAAATTTAATTCTAAAATGAAGAACTTAACAAAATAAAGTACACTACACTATTTTGACTATTGTCTTGGTCTTCTCTATGCTACCATAGTTCTCCAATGAATATTGTATAGGATTTGAATCTGTTATTTTATGTTTTTTTAGTGGTCCTATCATGTGTCCAACTCAACAAGGTTCTAACCTACGAGAAGATATCATAACTCTTATTAAATTCTGGCAGATGATGCATGCTGATAAAAAATACCTGAATTCCAATATGTTATCATTTAATGGTAAGTTTAATACTTTCTGGAAAAAAATATCCCATTTTTATGTCCTTGCTTTAGATTTAGCTTAGTTTAAATGGAATTTCAAGAACCATAGAAGTCTGACTGAAAATCGGAATGGTGCAAATCGATGCCACTAATACACATAAAAAGTTTCAATAAACCCCTTTACCAACCCTTTAAATACTGAAACAGATTCCTGATGCCAAGAACCATACATTTGGTTACATTTAGTTAACTATTCTTCCATACAGTTTCTTGGTTTTTTAAAACAAACACATGCTATATATTTTAGATATGGACTCTTCAGTGTTGACACCACAAACATTATCAATAGGTGGTATACCACCAGATAGAAGATCTCAAGCTAGTGGTTGGATGAATACTATGAACAGCAGTGTTTCTACTTACTCTAGACGCTCAGCAAGTAAGTGATTCTTTAGTGTTATGAGTTAATTCTTGTCTTATTGCTGGGAATTCATAGCTATATGAGAAGACTGGGTGATGTTGTGCTCTGTAATTTGAAAACTGTTGTCAAAACCACAAACTTGATGTAAACCTATGGTATATGGAACATAATTGGTTGATGTTATTGCAGTGATGACCAATCAAATTTTAATAATTTGATTAAATACACAACTTTGAGTTATAACTTTAACCATTCTGATAACAGTCCTTTGAGTTGAATTATATATGTCTTCTGGATGAGAGTCAGAAAAAGTCAGACTGCATTTTGGGAGATAATTGTCATTTGAATATGTATATATTTGGTGTTGACCAATCAAAATGAAGTTGATAAAACCTTTTCTGAATATCTAGAAAAGTATAAAACTATCAGTTTGATTTCTTATTTTGACTTAAACAATGTTATTAGAAGTAATAGAATGGAATTTTTTTTATAATCAATATTTTTTTCATAAAAGAAATAGAATTAGAGAACAGGCTCTGCCCTTTCTTTGGCCATCAATGGCCATTTTCTCAGTAAATTTTCTGCATAATTCAACCAAATAAAACATATATTTCATCTGCTTGACATTTTGTTTCTGCTCTAAGCATTTGAGAAATCAGAAACCTGCAGAATTGATTTTGTATTGCCAGCTTATTTTACCATTTGATTTAAGTGATACCATTATTTATAAATGAAAGATTATAAGTAAATTAAGCTTTGAGAATCTATATTGTTTTGTAAATTAACTAAAATCTCTCATTTAATATATATGACAATTTGGGAACATTTTTAGAATTATTTCAATTAATATTGAAGGAAAATATTCTCTCATTAATGTTGAATGTTGTTCTGTTTTTTCCTCCATAATGTTATGAATTCTACTGCAAAATATTGTAATTTAACCCTTTTATAATGGAAAAATATTGAAATCACAAAATATAAAATGAAATTTTAGATATAGAATTGTCTCAATCTGTTGTGGTAAGAATGAACATATGCATGGTTTGAATTTGGTAATAATGTGTTGACTATACATTGATTATGTAGTTGTAGGAGGTCAACGTTTGTCCATTGTCCTTGGCCTTCACGGCCATATTGAACCAGCCAGTACAGACGCACACTTGTTAACTGTTGGCAAGTATAAACTGTCATGATGTCAACTGTATGTCTGGCATGATACTGTCTACAACTCTTCAATAATAACCATCTAACTTCTGCTCAATTTGTGTTTATCATAATCATAATTTATAAGTTTACCATGGTCTGTGACTGAAAATTTTGCTGTGAAACACAAAACACTTGACAACAGAAATTCTTTTTAAAGAATAGTATATCGAATTTTGCTATTGTATAAAAATGAATTTTGATACAGTACTTGTAATCTTATAATGACCTTTCAGCAACATTTTTCTAAAATAGAAACACACTTCTTTCCCAGAATTTTCAACAGAATATGTCTCAAATGTGGTAAAACTTGGAATTATGAAGAAATTTTATCTTATTTGTTCATATATATAATCTTTGTATGTCCATCACTAGAATCATTAACTAATTGTAAGTGACAATTGGGATTAAGTTATAGATTTCATTTTTTTGTATCATTCTTATTTTCTCAGTGGAAATTGATTTTTTATTGGTCAAAATTGCCTATGTTTGAGTGTTCATTATGACTTCCATTTATGTTCTGTCCAGTTTGTGAGCCTTGGTTGATGCTTACTATATATGATTTTAATATGTACTAGCTTTTTAATTGGTATAACAATTTGGATAATAGTACAATTAAATGTGCTCAATTTATCTTCCTTCTCATGGGAGTAATTAGTTCCATTAATTAATGTAAAAATGCTACTAATATGCATGTAATAAAAAAGTAACTGGCAATGAGCTATGGAGCTATGGAGTTTTTGCTAAAAAGAGATAAATCTATATGGGCAGATGTTAGGTGAGATCCGAAAATGGATTTGTATTCCTCAACTATAACTATTAAGATTGTTTGTGAACTGCAAGACATTGATGACAAGGCATGAAAAGATGTGCCATAAATTTGAATAATTTGAAAGCCATTTTACAAGTCAACAACTTCAGAAGAAATACAACTTTAGATATTATAAAGTGTCAAACAAGTTTAGCTTTGTCAGTTTTGCAGACTACTTGCTGATGCAGATGTCAATTGTGGCAGTGCTTTAGTTGTAGAGTCAAGTAACATGTAGACTGAGACCTGACTATTACTCTTAAGAACTAACCAGCACGGTTATTGAGGACTAACATTTTGATGAGATTCTTAGCTGCATGGTTATGTTTTGACTAGACTAAATGATGCTTTACTTGAAATTTATTTTCAATTGTTTTATGCTCAATTTGCTGTTCAATACAATATTTATCATGTTCATCATAAATCATAAAAACTTCATTCTGAAAAGTGCATTATTGTATGCAATTATGTTCTGAATCAGTTAAAAATCATCAAATTTATGAATCATGATTTTTTTTATAAAATAACTAAATTAGCTTACATGTTTTTTAGGTGCAAGAAAGAATCAAGCTGCTACCAGTAGTTTACTAAAAGATTATATTAAAAAGAGAAATCTTATCTTGTCCTTAGTGGTAAGCTATTTATTAGTGTATGTGTATGTGACTTAAATTTATCACAATGTCGCAGACAAGAGGCGATAAATTACTATATAATTGCTGTTGCATAGATGCATAATTTCAATGACATGATTCTCATTTTAGGCTGGAGCAGTTGATGCCCTTATTACCTGGCACAATCCTCTAGAACTATCAGAATTAAAAGTACCAGATGAAGACAAAATAGCTACATGGCGTAGCACACCTTTAACAGAAAAACAATGGAGAGATACAGCTAGGTTGAGTTGGGACATATCACCTACCCTGGCTGTGTTTTTACCCTCCAGGTAAAGTTACAAGCTAACAGGCCTTATTTTTTCATTTTCAGTTTCTTTTGATGTGAGAGTTTGAAAATCTGAAGTTATTAAGTTTTACATACAGGATAAAAATACAGCTAAAAATGTTTTCAATTTAGGTTCCGTAATTCAGAAGCCCTGGTTCGTGAAGTAACTAGATTAGTAAGATCTCATCCTGGTGCTGTGAACCATATACCACAAGCTATAGAATACCTGGTCACACCTCATTCCTTAGAGGCTGATGCCACAGAGGTAGGTCTTTTGTCATATTGATATCATTAGTTCATATTGTGGTCTTAAAAATCATTGTTAAGTATCTCCCATATTTTCCTTCTCAGTAAAACAGAGTTGTCTGCTCTTAAGGTAGTTGTTTGTCATGTGACAGGATATGTACTTTTGTGAGTTGAAGGCATGAAGTAAGAGCTTAGAGATTGAATAAAGCATGGCTGAAACTTAGATTCTAGTTTTGATTATAAGAACAATCCAAATCCATCTAGGATGGAAACCCCAACAAAACATGGTGGAGATGCCTAAACGGATCTACTATTGACGATTTTTTAGTTGAGCCTAGAATTATTTCAACCTGAATTATTGATGATGTGAAAATAGTGAAAGGAATCTTGAACAGTTGAGAGACAAATTAATCAGCTCTAATTCAGAATCTTTCCTACATCTTAATTTTGTTAGTGCCTTGTGAATTTTTGTATGATTTTGAATGGGCTTATCTAGTTTCTTAGAAGTGAAAATGGTTAGACTAGAGTATGGATTTTGGTGATTTTAACTGATCTAAGACTCAGTGTAGTTAATGACAATAGCCAGACTCTGTGTATCATCGAATGTAAACTTTAAAAATATTGATTGGTTAGATGATTATAAGAACAATCCAAATCCATGTAGGATGGAAACTCCAACAAAACACTTTATCATTTTTGAAATATTCATAGTTTCAACAGTTTTATTCAGAAAGCTTGTTATGGAGCAGACAAAGAAGTGTACTTGTTTAACAATAATTTTGATCAAACTTGGGAAAGATGCACTTGCTTTACCATGTGCACCTAACTCTGCAGGCATTTGGCAATTAGGTAGCAGAGCTGTATAAAAATGAATTTTGCATTCTTATCTTTCTCTTTTCAGTTAACCCATGTTCTAACATGGCAGATAGTCTCCCCTGTTTTAGCTCTCTCTTATTTTTCACGATTGTATCCACCACATCCATTAACAGCTCAGTATGCTGTCAGATGTCTACGCTCTCATCCACCCGTAAGTTTTCTAAATTCGTTGTTTGTTGGCATTAATTACTCCTGTATGAAGAATGAAGAAGAAGACTAGCCTACTCACTTTTGAATTCGAACTTGCCAGGTTGGAATGAATAGGAATACTAACATTTAAAACTACAAGTGACTGAGTAATTTTACCCCAAAAATACTCTCTCAATCAATCATATACAAAATTTTCAGATGATCACTTCTTTTATCTTAAAAATATGAAATATATAAAGAAATATAATTTTGTAATATAATATTTTGTAGGAAGCTTTGTTATTTTATATACCACAGTTAGTACAAGCTTTAAGATATGATCCTGTAAGTAATGTTTTTTTTTTCATTGTTGGATTATTATGTTTACATCCAAATCATTAATATTGCAGATGGTTGTAAGACAGAATGGTCTATTATGTTGTTTGTGAGTTTCCAATCATTTGGTATATGTAAAGGTCAAGCCCCCCCCCCCCCAAAGAATCTTGGAAAAGAATTTGTCATTCGTTGAATATTACTTCATGACAAAATTTATTGTAAAATTATTTGATAAATGGGGTTTGATGATCAAGATTTGTCAAGTCTTATGATCAGAGCTTCAAATCTTGGCACGATGATCTGAATGTGTGTGTTATGAAAATCAGCAGAGTTAGAAACATCAATTATAGATGTAACATCTTGTATTATAGATGGGGTATATAGGAGAGTTTATTTTATGGGCTGCTAAAAGGTCACAGTTATTAGCACATCAAATACTGTGGAATATGAAAACTAATACTTTCACTGATGAAGATGCTACTATAAAAGATGGTAAGGAAATATTGAACATGAGATATTCATAATTAATGATTCAAAATGAAAATATTCATAATAGAATATCCAAGATTTTGATAACATTTCCAAAATCTAAAAATTCAATATTTTTGATGAAATATGCAATTTTCTTTATGAAATGTGAAATATTCGTTATTTATAATGAAATACCCAATGTTTATAATGAAATATCAAATGTTGATAATGAAATACCCCAATATTTAAAATATCCATTATTTATAATAAAATATCTAATGTTTATAATGAAATATCCATTATTTGTACTGAAATTTTCTTTATTTTTGATGATGAAATGATTTAAATAAAGTTTGATAATATTGTTAAAATTTTCGAGAAAATATTTCTAAGAAATATTTGATTTTTCAGCTGAAATTGGTGATAAACTAGAGAAAATTATGATGCAAATAACACAAGATTTATCTGGTCATGCTCTTCAATTTTATGAAAGAGAATTTGACTTTTTTGGTAAAATAACAGCTATTTCAGGAGAAATAAGGTATGTTTAAAACTTAATGCCCCAAAAAACAGGCACCATGCAATTGATGACATATTGAAAATCTGGATGGATTCCAGGGAGCCTATAGCCTTCTGTGGATTCAACAGGAATTACCATGTGACTCAAACACTCTTCACATTAAAGGTTTTGAACAGGGCATAAGATATTCTCTTTTATTTACACTGATTGTTGAAATGGAAAGTAGAGTGTATTTATTACATGTTGTCTTTTCCTTTCTTTAAAATCAAGATGGTCAAAGGTCATTGGTAAGTCTAAAAACAAGAAGTAGACAGAAAGCATGCTTAAATATCTTGAGCCACTGTATTTGCCGTGGCTTTTTAATACCAGGAAAGTACACCATATGAATATTTGACTGTTTGTTTCAGACCATATCCTAAAGGTCCAGAAAGAAAGCAAGCGTGTTTAAATTGTTTAAGTAAAATAACATTACAACATGGCTGTTACCTACCCTCCAATCCTGAAGCTATTGTCACAGAAATTGACTACAAATCTGGAACACCCATGCAAAGGTATGATTATTATGCATTAAAAATTATGCTGTAAATCTTGAATAGGGCTGTAGTCACTTTTAGTAAACCTATCTATAAATCTGTCCACAAGTTGACAAAGTCAATATGGTGAGTTATCCTGGTAAATAGAAAATGAAAATAAATGACAAAGTCAAGTTTCAGTTCCACATGGTACTGTGTTTTTAACTTTGCAAGTTACCAAGCAATAGGAATAAACACAATCTCAACCTCTCTCATGTTTAATTTTGAGTTCATTATTATTGGGCGATATAGGGCCAATATTTTGAAGGAGAAAAAATAAATAAAATCTTAGCCAAATTATGTTTATTTTTTCAGAATTATTAACAATGTGCTCTATTTGATAGCTTTTAGTGACTTCTATGCCAGAATATAGTTAAACCATTCTATTACTTTAATGATCTGGATATGAGTAGAATTACCTGTACTTTGCATTCTCAACTTGCTGGAACCTCTGCAGATTATTCAAATCAGATTTTCTTTCAAATTGTCAACATAGCTTATAATGTTTATTGGTTAATGTTAACACCTTCTTTATTTCAGTGCTGCAAAAGCTCCCTTCCTCGCCAGATTTAAAGTAGAGAAATGTGGTATCAATGAATTAGAAAATTTAGCCATGTCAGAAAATACTACTGTTGATGTAAAGAAAGATCAGAAGAGTAAGAAGACCAGTGAACATTGGATGGCCTGTATATTTAAAGTTGGTGATGATGTCAGACAAGTAGGTTCTCACAAATAGTGACTTATTGTATTTGCTTTCAAAAACTGTAAAGATTGCAGGTAATCTTTTAGTGCTAAAAGACAGTGTGATGTCAATGGCATGGAAAATAAATTATGTGATAGGGTTTAAGTCCTTGTTTCTCAGTCTATAGTTTTTATTAGGCTTTGTAGGCCAAAATTCCTGGCAAATTTCTGGTATTTAGGTTTTGTAAGTCAGCCTCTACCATCTTAGATTATCTTAAATTAACATAAACTGTTTGAAGTCATCAGACATATACCAGGTATCTTTCAGAGAGTTCACATAATTACTTATTTTATATATTTAGGTAGTAATGTAATGTTTGTTTTTATAGGACATGTTAGCTCTCCAAGTTATTGGTATGTTTAAGAATATATTTGATCAAGCTGGTCTTGAGTTATATTTATTTCCATATAGAGTAGTAGCTACAGCGCCAGGGGTAAGTCATCTTGCTATAACATGGATAGTATGAAGTGAAAAAAATTGTTCCTGGAAAATCAAATATTTTCTATGCTGTAAAACAAACAATATAATTTTTCAATCTTAATTATTAATGATTTAATCTTTCAGTGTGGTGTTATAGAATATGTTATATATTTCATTGTGTTGTTATAGAATATGTTATATATTTCAGTGTGGTGTTATAGAATATGTTACATATTTCAGTGTGTTGTTCTAGAATATGTTATATATTTCAGTGTGGTGTTATATATTTAAATGTGGTGTCATAGAATATGTTATATATTTCAGTGTGGTGTTATAGAATGTGTAATATATTTTCAGTGTGGCATTATAGAATATGTTATATATTTCAGTGTGGTGTTATAGAATGTATTATATATTTCAGTGTGTTCTTATAGAATATTTAATATATTTCAGTGTGGTGTTATAGAATGTGTTATATATTTCAGTGTGTTCTTATAGAATATTTAATATATTTCAGTGTGGTGTTATAGAATGTATTATATATTTCAGTGTGTTCTTATAGAATATATTATATATTTCAGCGTGTCGTTATAGAATGTATTATATATTTCAGTGTGTTCTTATAGAATATTTAATATATTTCAGTGTGGTGTTATAGAATGTGTTATATATTTCAGTGTGGTGTTTTAGAATGTGTTATATACTTCAGTGTGTTCTTATAGAATATTTAATATATTTCAGTGTGGTGTTATAGAATATGTTATATATTTCAGTGTGGTGTTATAGAATATGTTATATATTTCAGTGTGTTCTTATAGAATATTTCATATATTTCAGTGTGGTGTTATAGAATGTGTTATTTATTTCAGTGTGGTGTTATAGGATGTGTTATATAATTTCAGTGTGGTGTTATAGAATATGTTATATATTTCAGTGTGTTGTTATAGAATGTGTTTTTTTTCAGTGTGGTGTTATAGAATGTGTTATATATTTCAGTGTGGTGTTATAGAATGTGTTACATATTTCTGTGTGGTGTTATAGAATGTGTTATATATTTCAGTGTAGTGTGGTGTTATAGAATGCGTTATATATTTCAGTGTGGTGTTATAGAATGTGTACCAGACAGTAAATCTAGAGATCAGATAGGTAGACAAACTGATATTGGAATGTATGAATATTTTATCAATAAATATGGTGATGAAAACTCTCCCAAATTTCAGGCTGTAAGTGTTTCTTATTTTTCTTAGCACAAGCTTACACAAAATTTGGTTATCATTATACTATGTATATTATCTTTAAACATTTTGTCCGTCTGCTAACTCTAAAGACTACAATCTTTCCTGCTGTTGAGAGGGTATTTTGGTAATCAAGTAAGGGTCATCCCCACCATTACAGTTGGTGATATTATCTCAGATTTTCATACTGTGTAGAACTTTGTGCTAAAAGGCTTTAGGTACAGTCAAGCTTATTGTTAACTTAACAGTGTTAAGTATCAGTTGCCATTTTGGCACATAGAAATGCTTTTATTCATAGTTTAGTTAAAATAATCATTATTTTCAGGCCAGGCATAATTTTATAGTCAGTATGGCAGCTTACAGTATTATTGGATTTTTATTACAAATTAAAGATAGACATAATGGTAATATAATGTTAGATAAACATGGTCATCTGATTCATATAGGTTTGTTATTAATTCATGTATATATATTCAAAAAGCTGTTTCGAATCTGCAATGTTGTGGTTCAAGTGTTCAAGATGGCTAAACTTGAGGCACAACATCAACTTTCACTACACTACATGTATGTATAACAGTGGAGCTGATATTCATTTCAATTCTTTAGACATGGATTCAAAAGGATAAGCTTATTGGAAGAGGACTTTGGGTACAATCATATTCACAATCAGTCATCTTTAAAATGTGTTATGTTCTACGTTTTTGTAGCAAAATTGAGTTGTCATAAATTTCTGTTTCACCTCTGTAGTGAATACATGTAAAAATATATGCCGAAGCAATTTTGGAATTCAATCCTTTGTTCAAATTGGAATCTTGTAGATTTTGGTTTTATGTTTGAAAGTTCACCAGGAGGTAATATGGGCTGGGAACCTGATATAAAGTTAACTAATGAAATGTTGCTGATAATGGGAGGTCGTGATGCTCCACCATTTCAATGGTTTATGGAACTATGTGTACAGGGATATTTAGCAGTGAGGTAAGGAACATTTTATGGGTTCAAGTAGGCTCGAAGTAGGTGAAAATGAAAGAAGTTTTACATTTAACTTTCCTGTTCATAATGAGACTAATGAGCAACAATTCTATTTGCAATGAAGGAAACTTTGCCCGGCCAGTTCAGGAGATCATTAATATGCACAGCAATGTGTTTATTGTCCCATCATGTTTCCATGACAGACCTCCGGATCCAAACATCTTATCTTAATTTGTGTTTTTAAATTTTATTAATCTTTTTTAATTGCAATAATATGTTTTTCAGGCCATATCAAGAAGCCATCATATCTTTAGTATCATTAATGTTAGATACAAGATTACCATGTTTCCGTGGACAGACAATCAAATTACTACGTACTAGATTCTCACCCCAGTATTCTGAACGTGATGCAGCTAATTATATGTTGAAAATTATACGTGACTGTACCAAAAACTGGAGAGGAAAAACATACGACTGGTTACAATATTACCAAAATGAAATTCCATGTTAAGATGCACGGTTATAAATTCAGTTATTCATCAATCTTACTTAACTTTTTTATATCTTGTTGTTTATCTTTTTGTTTTGCCAAAATTAATTGATGGTTTTCATTTTCTGCTAATTTGCAACAAATCTGAAAATTAGAGAACCTCATGATGTTTAAGGAATCACACTTGAATATATTTTTTGGTGCAGCACTACATCTTGATGATGCACTTCTTTTCAAATTATTATATATTCATCTAGATATTTTGTGGATGTAGATGATTCCACATGCCATCCATGATCTGATAAAATATTCTGGATCATTAAAATGTTTAACCAATGCTCTGTTCCATACACGATTTACTATCTTATTGAGAAATACTTAGATATGCATAAATTATGACAATATTTGATGATATTAGTTTGAAAGTTAACTGAACTAAATTGAAAGAAATATTTCATCAGATCATAGACAAAAGTAAAAATATGACAGTAAAATTAAAAGAAATACACAGTTCCAATGGTACCTAGATTTTTCACTGTATAAGACAATCCAAGAAAATATTGTTTGTTTCCTTTCCATATGTAAAAAATGTAAATTGATTATGTAAAGTTAATCCAGTAATCTATTTGAAAGATTTGTCCTACAAAAAAACAGTAGGAAAGAAGTTTTCTTCAAAAATAGGATTTCTTCTTTTGTACTTTTTAAAAAATTGTCTGTCTGTATATAAATATATTAATCTGTATATAAATAATAATTTGTCCTATTGTTTGTATTCTGTGTAATATATAGTTATTTATTTTTTAATCATTGTTATTAAGTTTCTTACTATTTAAGAATCAACTTCAAGCCAGGCAAAGGGTATATAATGATATAAATGTCATTATTGATGATGTGCCAATGAAACATATACCAATGTATTTAGTAAGTTAATTAAATAACATTGTTTATATTGATAATAGAGAGTGTGTGTGCAATTTTTTTCTACTGTGATATAAAAAGTATATTGTCCACTAAATTGCACATATTACATGTCCTTAGTGTTGAAAATTATTGATGGAAAGTTACAAAATGTAAGTTCTTTGGAAATTTAAGGTTATATTTGTCAAATTATTTATCTTTTCACTGATAGAACTCAATTTCAGCTATTTGTACTCAAATCTATTTGAAGTCTTAATCTCAGTCCCTAATAATTAAACAAAAAATAGTATATAATATTCTTATTTTGTTATTATATGATGAAACAAATAGTTAGATGTTAATATCCCTGAGAGTACTTTATAGTAGTAGTACCATGTATTCATTTAAGAATTCTGATTTAAGAGTAAGCTACTTACATGTTAAGCTTGTTCCATGGATTATAACTTTCCTTAAAAGTTTTCAAATAGTTCAATCTTCGAACTATTCAAATAGTTCAGCCTTAAAAGTATTCAAATAGTTCAGTCTTAAAAGTATTCAAATAGTTCAGTCTGAAAGCTATTCAAAAAAGTATATATATCTCAACCATTTTAAGGCATATAACAAAAATGTTTTTGACTTGAACTATGTTAGAAAATAAATTATTAAACAAACGATATTTTGTTCTCTATTCCTTGTTCGGGACAACCCATGGTTTTATTGGCATTTCTGCATCGGAATTAAACCATGCCTCTGGGGTCCAAATTGACACAGTTATGGTCATCTTAGTACAGGGGAGGGGTCTAACACCGGCCTCTATCGTTTACTGCAGTCTTGTTGCGCAAGTTGGGGTAAAAAGCAAAACTTTGACAGGCTTTCAAGTTCCTATGCACATAGTCTGTCTGCAACAGCACTTTAAGTTCAGGACACTTTCAGAGAGCGGCTTTCGAGGGATTTTCCTCTTGAAGTCAGGTTTGATACTTCAAAGTCGATTTTCTCGGAAGTTTGAAAAAATTCCGAATTTCTGGTTTTGGGTGAAAGCGTCGCAGGACATGATCAGCTTTCGTTTGGTACCAAAACCAAACCACTGGGGGCCAAATTGACACAGTTATGGCCATTTTAGTACAGGGGTGGGGCCTGACACCACCAGCCTCTACCGTTTACTGCAATCTAGTTGCGCTGGTTGGGGTAAAAACCAAAACTTTGACAGGCTGCCGTTCGAAAACTATCAGAGATGTACAGTTGAAATTTGCACTGAATTTGCGCACACATCTGAACTGGCTAACTTGAAAAGTGCTGTAACTGAGAGTGCAAATTTCAACTTTCCAGCTCTGATAGCCTTCGAACGAAAGCCTATCAAAGTTTTGAAAATGCAGTGCAGAAAGACGCTTAGACAAACTGCCGACCCCACCCCTGAACTAAAATGGCCATTACTCGGCCAATTCTGACCCGAGAGGTACAATTTTTGTTTGTAATGCAAGCTTATCATTTCCTCCATCTATTTCAGTAGAAAACAGAAATTCGACTCTAAAGTTGCACCCTTGATTTCAAGAGGAAAATCGCTTATATTTTGGTTTGGGGAAAAAAGTCTGAGACTAAAAGTGCTGTAACTGGAGTTTTCGAGATAGGAAGCTGAAATTTGGAACAAAACGACTTCAGACGAGTGTGTACCATCAGTGCAAATTTCAACTTTACATCTCTGATAGTTTTCAAACGGCAACCTGTTGAAGTTTTGGTACTCACCCCAACCAGTGCAACAAGACTCTATAGGCGGACTGCCGACCCCCACCCCCTCACTAAAATGGCCATAACTCGGCCAATTTTGACCCGAGAGGTATAATTTTTCTTGCAAACGAAAGTTGAACTTGTCTTCTATCTATTTCAGTCGAAAACAGAAATTCGCATTTTTTGAAATCTTTTGGAAAAATCGACTTTGAAGTTGTACACGAATTTGCAAGAGGGAAATTTGCTTATATTTTGGTTCGGGAAAAAATCTGAAACTCAAAGTGCTGTAACAGGCAGAGTTTTCACGGTAGGGACTTGAAATTTGAAACATAACAACTTCCAATAGGTGTGTACCTTCAGTGCAAATTTCAACTTTCCAGCTAGCCTTCGAACGAGAGCCTGTCAAAGTTTTGGTCTTCAATCCTTTGAAAATGCAGTGCAGAAAGACTATAGGCGGACTGCCGACCCCCACGCCCTCACTAAAATGGCCATAACTTCGCCAATTTTGACCCCAGAGGTATAATTTTTGTTGCAAACGAAAGTTAAACATATCTTCTATCAATATCAGTCGAAAATAGAAATTCAGATTTTTTTGAAATCTTTCGAAAGCCGCTCCTCTACCGTTTACTGCAGTCTAGTTGCGCAGGTTGGGGTAAAAACCAAAACTTTGACAGGCTGCCGTTCGAAACTATCAGAGATGTACAGTTGAAATTTGCACTGCATCTGCGCACACATCTGAACTGGCTAACTTGAAAATTTCAATCGCGCATAGTCTGCCTGCTACAGCACTTACAAAAACAATACGTCTGGGGGCCAAATTGACACAGTTATGGCCATTTTAGTACACGGGTGGGGTCCGACACCAGCCTCTACCGTTTACTGTAGTCTAGTTGCGCAGGTTGGGGTAAAAACCAAAACTTTGACAGGCTGCCGTTCGAAAACTATCAGAGATGTACAGTTGCAATTTGCACTGCATCTGCGCACACATCTGAACTGGCTAACTTGAAAGTCCAATGTAGGTCAGAACATGGATAAATTGTCATTGACTTACCATTAGAAAACGTCATCGGGCCCCATCAGCTGATGAAATATAACAATTGGTTGTTCATCGCCCTGTAAAATGGATAATAAATGTCAATGATTATTAACTAATATTAACCATGAAATATTAATCAAGATGACACTATTGTGAGACATTGTTGTGTTTCCAAGAGATTTAATTCGCGTGTTATAGTAATATGGCGTTCATTTCTAGCTGAGCGTCTACAGTTATAAATGGTGTTTTTTGAATGTGAACCCTAGGTGAGTTGAAATAAGTCAAATGACACACATATTATTAATAACAAATTATGTTCCAAAAACCAGGGGTTCCGAGGCCCGACAGTCAGGACGACAAGAGGGAGGGATTTTATGTCTTAGGATATTGTAGGCCTAATAGTAGGCTTAAACGTACAATGTATCCGTGCAAATTCTGTATTTTGTCAGGACTTATACGAAAATAATTGTAAACTGTTGCTGATTTTAAAGAATAGTTTTGATACTAAAATTAAAAGGCTAGATACTTTCAAGGTAGGCCTAAGGCACATATTTCTCTCGCGATGTTGGTCTATAGTTTTTCTTCAATATGAGCAGCAATATATTTAGACGTGAAAAAAAGTCAGTTGGCAACTTTTAAGTATAGCTTCTGGAATCATTCCATCGTTTCGAAACCACACATGCATTCATATAATTCGTTGTACTTCGTAAGACAATGTAAAGTCCGTATTGGGGATACGATGGAATCATGGAACTATGACTATTAGCCTTTTACATGTCTACGATGGAATCATTCAAATATTTTTCGCCCCTGGAATATTTTTCAACAAAAATTTTCATTCATATTTTCATATTGATTTTTTTTTAAATTTTTTATTCGATTCCTGAAAACTTTTCCGACTCCGAGAAATTCTCTCGTACGTTACGGCTGGTTTCATAATCAGATGAAAACGAGTTAGCATAACCTGTTCATTTTATTATTCTTCAAGGGCAGTCAGTATCATTCCTACTAGACATCTGATATTGTGGTCAATGAAGAAATAGAAATACTTTGAAAGGGTAAATGATTGATTATAAATAAACCAAGTACATGTACTAACAATAATTTTGCTTGTATACATGATGTATTTGGACCTTAATATGATAGTAGGCCTACCAACCTTGATTTTTACGACTGTTGAATTCTGAATAATTCAATGTAAATTATTTCTTTCATTAACAAAGTTCACTTGGGATGCACTGTTTTTAAGACTGCCAAACAAGTATATCATATCATTATCAAAGAAGTTACTTGTAGTCGAAGGGGGGGGGGGGGGATTTTTTTGTGGCCTGTAGTTTATAAAACGAATCTGATGATCACTCGATAGTTGAAACTTTGACAATTATAAAATATTTATATAGATTAGAGATATTAGGCTAATAGTATGTCCATCACATCAACATAATAAAAATATAAATGCAATATCTGTCACTGTCAAAAAGTCTACCGTGGAATTTATGTTACTTATCGAGAAAACGAGGAATGACGAATGCATCCGGAAGTTCTGAAGGGACTTATCTTGTTTTCTAAAGAAAGAAGAGCTGTTTTGTTTTTCTTCATGAAAATAAATAATATCCCATAAAAATAAAATAAAGCGAGGTAATTAATTGCTCTAAACTTCAACTCTAAAGCATCAGGTCGATCACCCTACTGTATATTTTTGAATTTATATACCTTCTCTTTGACTAATGATCTTTCTAATTACCGGTAACAATTTTGTAGATGAATTTTGGTCTGGACAAAAGTGAGTGTTCAGGAAAGACAGATCAATGGATGGAAAAACTACGAGATACCCAAGTTACACGAGCTGATATGAATAAACTTATTATGAACTATTTAGTCACAGGTTTGTGAAAAATTAATTAGTAGTTTTTATACTATCATAATGTTTACAGAATCAATCATTTTTATTGAATTTTTTTTTATGGGTTGATTAAATTGTTATCCACTGTAGGCCAAAAGATTATTATTTGAATTTTCAGTCTGAAAAGTGGAACATTTTCACTGGTAATTTCTAAGAATAAAGTGTGTTAAATTAACGTAAAAATACTGACCCCTCTATAGACAAATATTTCCCTGTGCCTGCGGTTGGGAAGTTTGACAATGATATTAATTAAAAATTTCATTATTATTTAAAAAGTATCATCTTGATGCATTGTTTTACCAGCTCGTTAACATGATAAGATTATATTTATCCCGAACAAATCTTATACCATACAACTTTTTTTCCAGAGGGATTTAAAGAAGCAGCTGAAAAGTTTAAGATAGAATCTGGTGTACAACCATCAATAGATTTAAATGAGCTGGATGACAGAATAAAAATTCGTCAATCCATCCATAGTGGAAATATACAAGAAGCAATATGTCTGGTAAACCACCTCTATCCTGAATTATTAGACAACGATAGATATCTATATTTCAGATTACAGGTTTGTAGGACTAATTGAATATATTTTTGGTGATCTGAGATCTATGAGCAATTACCAGTCAACTCGTCTACATGTCAACTTGTGTACAAAATACAATAGCTTTTGTAAATATGTAGCCTATATGGTTATGTTGTTAATTCCCTAATAAAAAAGAATCGCAAAAGAGTCCACTGTACCCGTTACGTCAAAGTCAAGGCATGAAAACAAGGTTGGCATTCGGCAAATCATGCCATGTATCGAATAGGCCAAGTACAGTAGAAGGCCTAATAATATTTGTTTACATCTTTTGTTCCTAGTAATTGTAAATTGAAGCAATTGAATAAACTAATGAAGAGATTAGGGGAATAAAAAAAACAAAAAGATTATGTTAATTTGCCACTCATTTGATTACTAATAATCTGTATTGAAAAAAAGGAGGTTATGTTACTATCACAGCAGGTGTTCTATATGCTGAATGAGGTAATGATACAACAATTACAGGTTCATTTGGCAAATAGATTATCACAGATCAGTAAATTTGCTGTTAGGTTTACCTAAAAACTGACAATTGCATAAAAATCAATGGCTTTAATCTTAGCAAGTGAACTAGTGCCATGAATATATAACACTTAACTTTTAAGTCATTAGATAATTGTATCCTTTTAAATTGTATATTGTACAAAGATAAAGGAAATTCCATCTTCTATAACTTTTTTTTCTAAAAATCTGGTTTGGTCAAAAACCTAATATAATTATGATGAAAGTGAAAACACTAATACATGAAACAACTATTATTATCACATTTACAATCACATCTCGAAGTAGTTTTTAATTTCCCAAACTCGGACAGATATTAGCAAACATTACAATCCAAATGTTAGTCAAATATAGGGCTGAAAAACTCAAAATGCGAACGAGGAAAGGCTTCTATATTATCATTTCATTTCCAGCAACAGAAATTAATAGAACTAATCAGACAGAAGGAATTAGAGACAGCCTTAGAATATGCACAGGTACATTTAGCAGAACGAGTGGAAGAAAACCCTGAAGTTTTAACAGAATTAGAGAGAACATTAGCATTATTAGCCTTTGAAGATCCAGAAAGCTCACCATTTAATGAATTGCTTCATCCATCTCACAGGCAAAAGGTAGGATCACTATTGTATTTGACTCTAAATCAAATTTTATTCATTGAGACATATGTTACATTGCAAGTACAATTAACCTTTGTTGTTACCATAAATCCATGCCCCTTGTCAAAATTATTATAGATGGGACTGTGGTTTACTTAATCCAAATGGCACTGTTTGAGACATTAGATTTCAATCAGACAAAGTAACCTTTTTATTACGAGAGGGGAATATATATATATTGCACAAGATTTTTGTCTGTGTTCAGATTTACAAAACAAACCATGATAAGGCTATGTGCAAGTGTGTTGATTGGCCGGTTTGAAAGTGATGTAACAGCTTGAAACATGCTATTATTATGTAACAGATGATTAGTTTGTCTTTGTATTGACTTTAGGTTGCTAGTGAATTGAATGCAGCCATATTAGAGTCAGATGCCACACCAAAACTTGCTAATTTATTAAAACTATTGTTATGGTCACAAGATGAACTGGACAAAAAGAAGGAAAAATACCCCAAAATGACAGACATTTCAAAGGGAATTATTGAAGATCCAAAGTAATATGATAGTGTCTGATAGCATTCTTCACTTATGGATCTCAATGTGGAACATTGGAATTAGTTGACATGTTAACATTCATGAACATTACCAATTGTTTGATATTAAAATATCAATGGCTTTAGATTATTCAACTAGACATTGATAAATAAATGTGCTGTTTTAAAGACTGTTGTACCACCAAAATTTAATGACTGATATTGATGGATATTATTTTTGTGGAGTGGATTCATAATTTGTGACAATTCAGCCAGGGAGTTGGATATTTTAATTCTCAGTGGGAACTAAGTAAATGGTATTTGAAGTATAGTAACGACAGCATGAATAATTGCTATTCAAATTTGAGGAATTGCTATATTAGTTAATCTAACTTTTACTTAAGTCTATCACATACCCCTGTTCAAATTTTTCTTAATTCTTTTTACCGACATCATTCCATGTGCATTTATGTTAAAGTAGTGATACCATAATCTGTTGCAGAAATCAGATTTCTTCAATTTCCAGTGAACCAAAAATTTCATTTGGAATGCTATGGACTCTTCCTAATAAGACTAGTTATAACAAGTTGAATTTCAGCTCTCCACCACCCAACTTTTATCTCATTGTCATAATGTAAATTGTCATCTCATATTTTATTAGAGAGCGGTTCATATCTTTTCGCTTCTCAGTCAAAATAGTGAAAATAGGAGGGATCAAACAAAGCAATTCAAAAGTATGCCAAAAGTATGATGAATGTATACATGGCTCGAGTAGGACAAACTGCTCTTATAGCTTGTGCATTAAGTGCTATACATACCAATATTGAAGACTTCATTGCCAATCTTTTCTATTGCAATGTGACCTTTTACCACATCGGTAATTTTTGTGGTTTGACAGCAACAAAATAAGAATTTTAAGCCCGGAGTTTGATAATATTGTATTATAATAAATTTTAAAATAAAAAGTTTGTATTTATATGTATTATTAATACCCTACATTATTATGTAAGTGTATTGATCTTGCCTAGTTCTCCAGTTTAACTGGTTTTTGATAGAACTGAAAATAGACCAGTGTGCTGCCAGCTGTGCATTTTCAAGGATTGTCCAACTGAAATTTTGTGCAAGGCAAAAAATTGTCTATTTTCATTGGCAAATATATGTAGACTACAACTTTGATGGCATTTTGTTTTCTCCAGCATAAAAGGTTTGTTAAATTCATGGCATGTTAGAGGGACAAATAAACGCTAAAATTCTATATACATTTTTCTTTTCCATAAAATAATAGTTTTTACATCAATTCATGTTGTACAATGGCACAATAAATATCAGTATATCCTTTGCTACTATCACATATTTATATCTGTATAAAACATTTATCATACATTTTACTTAAAAAATGAATTATGAAAGGCTATGAATTTTAAAACATGTTTTTTGGAAGTTATTACAAGTGACATGTTCAACCTGGTTTTAAAAAATTTCATAAATTAATCTTTACTGACGATGGATATTGTTACAAAGGCATGCTGTTACCCACAAATTTCAATGACTAAGGTAGAATAAATCCTGCTGCGAAAATATAGTGCAAGAAGAAATAAAGTGTTAGCAGCCAATTTAGCTGCAATGTCTATGAAATGGATGAATTTAAAATCCACATGAATACAATTATAGTACATGATCATAAAAATAACTTCTAAATAAGATTATGAATTGCACCAGCCATACTAGAGGATTCATTGTTCTTTTCACCATCCTATTATGTATTCTTTAACTTTAGACATTAAACTATTGTCTTTCTGAGGAACTTGACCACCTTTTACAACCTGCAATTAAAAAGTTTGCTAAAATTATATGGTGTACTATAACTTCCGAAGTTATGGGCGTTTGAAAATAGCAAAATTTTCTTTTAAAGAGCTCTAGCAACCATTCTATTAATGTTATAACCATAATTTTTACAGAAACGTAATCTACGCATCGAGAGCTTTCCAGTGATATATAACATGTATACCTTACATGCAAATTCAAAATCCCATTCACTTAACATGGGGCTATTATTGTACAATCCCTGTAAACAACCTGTCGACACTTGTTAGAACTAATTAAAATCAAAAAAATCTATGTTCATTTTAAAGAAACCTTCCCTTATATATTTGCTTAATATGTATTATGTGCAGTTATGGTGTATATAAATAAGCTCTAGGGTATATTGAATGCTGTTATCAGGTAAGTTGAGCTTACAGAAGCACATTAAAGGTATATCCCCACTTAATTTACCAACTTTCTTATTTATTATCCGATTTTCATCAAACTTGGAATGTATGGGTATAATCTAAATTTGATGGAATAATCGATTTTGCGTAGTGCGCATTAACAACTTTCTTATTTCTTATCCGAATTTCTTCAAACTTGGTATGTATGTGTATATTCCAATTCAAAATTGATGGATATATCGACTTTGCGTACTGCGCATGCGCATTGCCAACTTTCTTATTTATTATCCGATTTTCATCAAACTCGGTATGTTTGTGTATAATCTAATTCTAAATTTGATGGAATTATCGAATTTGCTTAGTGCGCATGCGCATTACCAACTTTCTTATTTATTATCCGATTTTCACCAAACTTGGTATGTATGTGTATAATCCAATTCTAAATTTGATGGAAATGTTGAATTTTTGTTGTGCGCATGCGCATTACCAACTTTCTCATTTATCATCCGAATTCACCAAACTTGGTATGTATGTGTATAATTCAATTCTAAATTTGATAGAAATATTGAATGTTTGTTGTGCGCATGCGCATTTCCAACTTTCTTATTTCTTATCCGGATTTCATCAAACTTAATCTTTATTAATTGACAAATATTCTTTTATTCCTAGTAAATATATTTAAACTCCAGGCACTTTTGGATATTTGCATTTAGAGATGCAGAAAGGTATTTACAAAAGGAACTGCAATAGACCATCTTCGTATGTACCTGAATGTCGTAACCCGCCCTGCATCAGTACTGTTATTAGAACATTTCTAGTCTTTCATTGTCATCAATTTGAACATTAGATGTACTCATAGTCTTGGTCATTGTATTCCAATTTGTACAATTCTTAAGGCAAGGCTTTTAAAATGTAGTGTTCAAGTAATGTCATGTTCTAACCACACAACATTCCTCATACCCTTGAGACTTGTAACACAAGTGAGGGAAATTATGTATTCATATCTAATTATTACCTAATCAAAATTGGCCTTGAAATCTTCCTAGTAAAATTTCAGCCAATCAAATCTAATCACTCGTTATCAACGTTTTGATAAACGAAAAGAAAGCAGCATGTGTCATAAAATGCTTTGATTAACATGGATGATACAGATTTGAATAAGATTTTTAGTAATAAATTGAATATGACAGCAAATCAAAACTGTACCATACTTAGGAATATTTATTTTAAAAGAATGGGTTTTGACCTCTCCACAGGGTTTCGTATATTGTTTACATGACCTTAACCGCTATCTGATTGGTCAAATATAAATAGTGCCAATCTCATTTCCACGCCCACAAAATAAGCAGGCTTAGTTTAATACAGGTTAATAAGACAACGTCAAAACCAGTAGTCTGGATATGACGAACAAGTAAATGCTTACACTTGTAATAATGTTTGATCTTGTATTGTTTTTGTATGTGACATGTGACATCACCTATATCTCAGTAATATGCCAGGATGGCAAGAAGAAAAAAAACCAGTTTATTTTTACAAGGAAAACAAATTGGGTTCATGGTGATCCTTTCTACTATTTGGTCCTTTGCCAAACATCATGGCATTGATCTTTGCCAGATTATATGCACGCATTTACAGCTGGGTCGACTGAAAATCAAGTAAAGATGACTTATTCATGGTCACCTGACATTCACACCGACATAGTGTTCCAGTGTCCACTACAGTATATGTTTAATTTGAATTTTTAACTTACGTCATAATCACTTCTAGAAGCTTGATAAGCTGCTGTTAATGGTCGTATAGTAGGAGTATTTTTATTAATATTAGAGTGATGTGTCAGGTCTGTTAAAGGGGTGGTAGGGGTCATGGGCATATCACTAGCAGACGCTCTTCCTTCCATTACATTCTGAAATTAATTCATAATAATGAACAATTTTGAATCATTTTGAATTTTGTCTGTTTTACAGACGATTTAAATTCAATTTTATTTTGTTTCATATTCAAAAATATTCCAAAATCTGAATCAACCAGCATTGTAAACAACCACCAAATATTTTCCATACCTTATCTATACAGGGTAAAACTCCTATCATTATACAACCACCAAATATTTTACCATTTTTACTAAGTGCTTTCTTAGCTTGAATTTTAGACTGGTAATGAATGTGCATCCAGTTTCCTTCTGTAGCCACCTTAAAACGAAAAAACTTGACTGTTGAAAATAAGATAGATATGGATGCATACTGTATTCCAATGTTATGTCTAAGGGACATTCCACTTTTCTGTAGAGAAATATGTCTCCTTTGTATTCTAAAGGTTTCAACTATTAATATCGAGCCATTATAAAACCAAATACTAAGTCTAAACTGCTAAATTAACAATTACCACTCTCCATTTTCTTATACCCTTTTAGGTAGATACAAAGATAAAATAGCATACTTAAGAAATATTTTCATGTAAATGTTTTCCAAAAAAGGCGGAAGATCAATTAAGTCATTTAGAACACCATATTAACAAACTACTGTTCCAAATCTAAATTCAAACTGAATAAATTTCAAATTAAATTAAAAATGAAATACTTACTACATGTTTAACTATATGACCATATTGTGAAAACTGTTCTAATATAAATGATGTTGCACCCTTATTAAACCTGAATACAAACAATACGTTGTACAATATAATAAAATTTAAAACATTATTAAATTTAATCTCAAATATTATCTTTTCTCTTTAATGAAATCCTTTATATTCTACGATATGATTATGATTAAGACTAAGAGAAAGTAAACAATAAACAAGCATTGATCCCAAACTAGAAATTTTACAAATTAAACTTACCCAAATATGGTGACCCAAGTATCATCTAACATGTCATAAGATTTTAACATTTCTCTGTAACAGATAAAAGATATCACAGTCAAAACCTTGAGCATAATAATTTCAGAATTCAATTTGATTCAAGTGCCGTAGTCATTTTGGCAGTATTTCATTTTAGGTTAGAAATGTGTCTTACCCTTGTGTATAGAAAGGATCTAATTGAGCAGGAGAAGCTGGTATTGATGATTTATTACCTAATAAACTATCATTTAATCTAGATTGATGATATAAACCTGAAAATATATTATTGAAATAAGTTCCATTAATAAATTTTTAATCTAGTTTAACACATTACTATTTAAAAATTCTGATGCATTTGACATTATCAAAGTAGGATGTAAGTGAAAAGTTATTGATAAAAATATTACTCTCAAATGCTTTTGTCAAATATTAAAGATAGACTGTGTTCCAGCTTCATAAAAAATTTGAAGGCCTCCTTTTTTTAGTTCAAAACTTCATTTGGTTAAAAATATTTCAAAATCAGTCTGATAAAGCATATAACAGACCCCAGTGTTGACAATGAATATATAAAAATGAATATGTACCTGATTGGGAAGGTGATAATGTTCTATTAGCAGGAGTAACAGGAGATCTAGCTTGACCACCAAATGATGTCTATTAAATGAATAATTGAAATTTATAGAAATAATCAAATCCTCTCTAAATACTGTGCAACATACATTCATTTCCAAATCAGCTGTCTTGATGAGGATATTATGATAGAGTAAAAAATAGAAATTTGAGTCATGTTTTTAATACATTCAACTCTGCTTATTAGATTTCTTTTAAAAAAGGGCAAGAATTACATTCAAAAGAAAATATAGACAATGAAAAGCTGTTGCTTGAAAGAGTTCCACATATTAAGGTACAAATCTAGTCACATTAACTTTGTTTTCAGTACTGGGGTCCTAAACAAGTGATTACCTGTAAAGCTGAATTATCATGTGAGTCCATCATACTGGTAGAAAATAATCCTTTTACTGGTGGTGCTCCCATTTTATCTTTACCTCTCATACCCTCTAGTCTACTGTAATATTAAAATCAACATTTTATTTCATGGGGCATTTTGCTTTAATTCTTATTTTTTTTTTATTTATTATTAACAATTGGTGGTCAAATCAGAATTCCTGAATGTACATTACAATCCATAAGCATAATCAATCTGCTATATTTCAATTTACAAAGGCTGGCATGTCCCAATAACTGAGAAAACTTACTTTGGTGTACCAGTTATTTGAGCTGAAGGTGAAGTAAAAGATGAAGCTTTCTGTAATGTTGGACTCTGTCCTGAAGATGACCATAACTTTGTACCTGGCTGCTTGGAAAAATGCAAAAGAAAAATTTAAAAACAGTCAAAAAATGGTTGTGCCTATTCTATGGCAGTCTCAAGAAAAGACGAGTTGTCAGTTCTAATTTGCAAATGCAGATAATTCTGGACACATATGGATTTGAAGGCTTAACCTTTTAGTTTCTGAAACTAAGGTACAATTGGTCAAACAGATGGCGAACATGTCCCTTTAAAATTCAGTTCCCTGGTATGATTAATGTTTACAATGAAATAAGATACCATATGCAAATTACATGTAGGCCTATATCTAATACAAATACTTACAGATAAAGTGTGAGAAACATTATCACCCAGTAAATAATTTGGTAGGTAATTGTGATGATGTGGACTTGTAGGGGAGGCTGTCATCATTGGTTCTGAAAAAAGAATAAGTAAATAATGCAAAAATAGCATATTTTCTGATTTGAAAGGTGAGCTAAGGTTGACTGGTGATGTGATTCATCTGACTATCCATCAAAGTGGAAAGGAAAATGTTTCAATTAGTTCAAATTGGTATTAAATATAAACATAACCATAACTGGCCCCTTTATAATGGATTAAGAAATAACTTAATTAAATAAAATAACTTTGAGATGTTTCGATGTAATTGTAGGTGCTTTCCTCCTAACAAACTATGATACAAAACAGCAGAGCAATGAGAATACATAGCTACCAAGTGATTTAGTAACGGAGTGATTACATTTGAGAAACAAAAGGAAGTGATTGGGGATGGTGGGTTTGTGGCCGTTGAGGGGTTTAAATCGATTATAGACCTTATATTGGGCCTTTGAGTTTTGTTTATTTTAGCCTTATTAGGATTAGAATAGGAATTATAAATCAGACTGAGACAGACACACGTATAAATATGTCACACTTTGAGACGTGATATTACCGTGAAAATCGCTGACAGCTGGAGAAAACATTTTTATTTGATTTCTTCTTCTGTTGATAACCTTATCATACAAAAGTTGTGGGGTAGGTTTTTAAAATCAGTGACAGGAAGTACAATTTTTTAACCGGAAGTAGATATGTTTTAAATTCTCTGTTCGACAACTGTTCAAATTCCTGTGGGCACAATATTACAGAATTAATTACACGTTGCATTCGGTGCCTTTGTGAATCTGCGTTCACAAAAAATATATAACCTACAAATAATTTCAGTTTAGATGTTGATAACCAAAAACAAGAATATGATTTTTATACCAACTCTTAGAGACCTTCAATATTAATCAAAATTCATTCTAAAAAAATCTCAGCCAATGTAAAGTTCATTGCAAAGCTCAGGGTCAGAGTCAAAGTTTGAGTCCTCCAATTTTGTGAACATTTTTCACTTTATTAGGTTTAGATTAGCCTACCATTCAGATATTTTGTCTCTGGATTTATGACAAGTAATATAAGGCTTATGTATGCAAAAGCTTCATTTAAGATTAAAATTAATAGGTTTGTTGTCTGTGATGTGATTGCATGGAATGATAAGTTGATAGAACAACCATGAAATATTTAGTACAGAATTGCATAATCTTTGTAGGCCTACATATAATTAGGTCATAGAGACTGATTAATATAGTTCATGGGTACACTTTGCATTTCAAAGTAGGCAGGGTGGAAAATATAGGTCTACACCCCATACCTTTTCCACTCTTTTTGTCTCATGAAGACAGGCAGTTGTCTAGAATCCCATTTTTAATTTCAAATTCTTTTACCACAGAGAAACTTAAGAGATATCCTTGCAGATGCGTTACTCTGGACCCACCCATTTTCAGAAAGTATATAGTATTCTGGACATAGCGCCAAAACCTTCTCAATTGAGTGTAAAAAAAGAAAAACCAATCAGCATAAGAAATTTAAATCAGATTTACAATTATGAATACAATATGATATAAATAAGGCTTAGTTAATTAGTTTTCAATCATTTTCAATGCAGTAAACCTACATTAGGACTACCAATATAATGTTCATATTGTGTACCATAAGTCTTACATTCTTTCACACAAAAAATATTAGAATTGCAACTTTTTCTTAAGCATATATTCAAACTTGGTACCGACACTAATTTGAAGAAAAATGCTGAAAATGTCAGAACAAACATTAAATTCAAATAATCAAGACTGACACTGAATTCATAAAAAGCACTAAAATTGCATAACATGGAGAATCACTGTAAATAACAAATACAAAATGGTTCTACATGATTTTTTTTATTTTATTATCATCCTTTCTGCATAGGAGATAGTATAATCCTAAGACAAAACACTTAATTAGCATAATTTATGACTGGCAAGCAATTAATATGTACATAATTAACAAATTATAAACAATTTTATACAATATTTTTGATTACATTATCACTAAATTTAACATTAGAAGTTGTTGACAAAAACTGTGTAATGCTTGGAGGCGAAAAAATTGCCACAAAGTAAGATACATTAATAATGTTCCTTTCCCAGAAAAGGACACAAGTCATAAATTGGTGTATAAAAATCATGAATATGTACAAATATCAAAAAATCATTTAATGGGAATAAAATCAACAATTCATAAACAAAAACATTAGAATGACTTAGCAAAATGATTTGGAATTGCAATCATATGTATATACAATGTCTCATTAGACAAACAATTTCGTTCTCGATTAAACAAATTTGGAAAACTGACTTGTTATAACAAAAAAGAAAAAATACTAGTGCAAACTTTTTTATGAGTAGACAAGAATTGAAGAGGTATATTAATATTCTTGTAGATAGCTCCATGTTGGTATAAAATATTTTATTGGATTGTAAGGTTTTCTTAATTTTTTTATGTATATTTGGGACACTGATTGTATCAATTTGCATCAATCAATATACATTCAAATTTTAGAAAACCTCTTTACAATATCTCTCAGATTGACTAGTATATATGAAATATGAGGTAGGCTAAAAAGGATAAATAGCAAGCAAATTTTAACATGATTGCAACTTTTGTCTCATTGGTAAAGTAAGCTTATATATGGATAAAGACGTGTATGCACACAATGGACATTGTCAATGAGAGCATTCTATATGTATGAGTAGCATAAAATGTTGGAATTGTGCATTGACTAATTTAGCCTATGCTTGGAGGATGGAAAACAATACCACATACCAGTTAAATTGAGTTCCTGGATTTTCCAGCATAGTATCCAAATGGTGTTCAACATGGGAAATGAGTAATAAATGGATGTTTTTCAATTTCTGGTCAAGAGTATCCAAGGCCTGATTTTTTCCAATAAGGTTAGTAACAGAGACATTTTTCAACATTATTAACTAAGTTGACACATCAACACACTGACACATGTATAAAAAAAAAAGGCAAGTTGACATGAGTATTAAGAATGTATAAAACAGCATTCAATTAAGAAATACTGATCTAGATGTATATACTAATTATGTATGAATGAGGCTTTAATATCAATAGCTATGAAGTTGCCATGACAACATTTTTCAGATTGCCAAAGCTCTGCAAATATTCCAATACAAACCTAAATTTCATAGCAAGTATAAAGAAAAACAGCGAGTAATATCACATGTAAAATGGAGGACATGGAAAAAGCGAAAGCGTGCTCAAAGTATTATAGATCGATTGTCAAACATTAAGTCTATTTTCTGCAATGAAGGATTTTAAGAATCTTTCACAATGAAAAATAGTTTCTGTTCAAATATCCGTAAACATATTTAACAACATCATTGTGCACATTTATTTTCTCATCTGTAGTCCTTGGAAACCATGGGCAGATAACTGGGTTTCTTCAAAAGCCTTTCTACCTTCATCACCTGTCAAAAACAAATATGAACGTCAGGAGTGTGCATAGAAAGATGTTGGTTACATTATTTGATATCAATTTTGATTGTGAAATAAACATTTGATCAAAAATGCT